TCTCTCTCTCTCTCTCTCTCTCTCTCTCTCTCTCTCTCTCTCTCTCTGTCTCTCTCTCTCTCTCTGTCTCTCTCTCTCCCTCTCTGTCTCTCTGTGTTTGCCTCTCTCTCTCTGTCTCTCTCTCTCTGTCTCTCTGTCTGTCTCTCTCTCTCTCTGTCTCTCTGTCTGTCTCTCTCTCTCTCTCTCTCTCTCTGTCTCTCTCTCTCTGTCTCTCTCTCTGTCTCTCTCTCTGTCTCTCTCTCTCTGTCTCTCTCTCTCTCTCTCTCTCTCTCTCTCTCGATGTCTCCAGGCCTCAGTTGCTGGTGCTCCTGAATCTTGACTCGGATCAAGGAGTCAAACACCCCCGCCTGCTGTCCCTCACCACTCAGATGAAGGCAGGGAAAGGCCTCACCATAGTGGGGAACGTTCTAGAGGGGACCTATCTCACCAAAGACACAGAGGCCAGGAAGGCTGAGCAGGTATGTTGGTGATGTGTACACCAGCATGCATAGACATACATGCAAAACACAAATGCAGGCACAAGTATGTTGTTATTTAATCTGCACTCTGATAAAACACCAACTGTGTTTAATACTACTTTCTTTAGTATCTGCTCAGAATTGCTAAGAGTTACAGTCCAAATCAACAAAATGGTTTGTTGGGCCCACGAACACATCTGTTGTGTCAGTCAGGATCTTAACAGGAAGCATTTTACACCCGGACTGCAGGTGAACTCTGCCATCTACTGGCCAAACTAAGGAGGTTGTTTGACCATGTCTTCAAAAGCATCAGTGGAATACTTTTCCTGCAAAAGCATCTTGTGCAGAAGCTGAAATTCCAAATTACACAGACTGCTGTATTCATGGGCATTGTCACTATGACGAGTCCTGAATGGATACCAACGAGAGTGCTGAATGGTAATCGTCTTTCTCTGTCCAGAACATCAAGTCCGCCATGTCAGAAGAGCGAACAAAGGGTTTCTGCCACGTCGTGGTGTCCTCAAACCTCCGAGACGGCGTCTCCCACCTCATCCAGTCTGCGGGGCTGGGAGGCATGAAGCACAACACGGTCCTCATGGCCTGGCCCGGCACCTGGAGGCAGGCCAACGACCCGCAGTCATGGAAGAATTTCATAGGTACTGAGCGGGAGACTGTTGAAAAATACATTGGAGTACATATGTAGGTAGAGAAACGCAGTAATCCAATGAGTGTTGTGGACAATTACAGAAAATTCCATCCAAATTCATTTAGAAATGCATGGAAAGTAATGATAATACATCTTACATTGCATATTTGCACAGCTGCTTATGCAGTCCAAAAAGTGGTCTGCAGTGTTTTAACTCCACCTTCTAGTACCGGATCAACTAGCTCAGGCCCTCGAGGGAGGTGATACCAAGATAAGTACTACCAGGTAGTATCCACAACGTTTGACCAGGGAAACCCCAAAAAAGAGTGAGTTAAGCCGAGCCGTACCATGCGGTGGAAAAGACGCTCTCTCTTTCTCTCTGTCCATCCAGAGACAGTGCGGGAGTCCACCGCCGCTCATCATGCCTTGCTTGTGGCTAAGAATGTGGACAGCTTCCCCACCAACCTGGACCGCTTGGGGGAGGGCACCATCGACGTGTGGTGGGTGGTTCATGATGGAGGCATGCTGATGTTGCTGCCCTTCCTGCTGCGACAGCACAAGGTCGGTGCATATCTCTGAGATACCCTCAACGCCCACAAGTCATTGTTTCATGTATTTTTTTCGCCCAGAATCCTTATTCAACACCGTCCTCCCGCTCCCCTCGGTGCTGCTTCATCTCACTAATCCATCCATCTCCCAGCTGACTGACGGTCTCGCTTTTCCCCCTATGCCTTCTTCCATAACAACCATGTCTTTCGGTTGTCCAGGTGTGGAGAAAGTGTAAGATGCGCATCTTCACCGTGGCCCAGATGGACGACAACAGCATCCAGATGAAGAAGGATCTCCAGATGTTCCTCTACCACCTGCGACTGAATGCAGAAGTGGAAGTGGTGGAGATGGTGAGGCTTTGCATGATAGAATAGCACGCTGCATTGCATCTTGCAACGGCAATGACGCATCACTACACTGGAACGCAGTGGATTCATATGTTTTTATATTTGCAACACAAATTTCTATCACAGCTTTATTAAGTTGTGAGGTAAAAACAAGTACAACTGTGTTTCTCCATCAGCTACGTTCAGTTGGTCTATCCACTACTCCTACAGCATGAAGTACTCTAGATCCTTTTTCAGTTTCAGTACTCGCGCGAGCAGACTCGCTCCAGATGGTAATTGACGACTTTGTGTCTGTCCTCTCCCGCGCAGCACGATAACGACATCTCGGCCTTCACCTACGAGAAGACGCTGGTGATGGAGCAGAGGTCTCAGATGCTGAAACAGATGCAACTCTCCAGGACCGAGAGGGAGAGAGAGGTAACGCACATCTACCAGAACACAAGCCTGCACTCACGGTCGCTTCGTCTCCGCAGCTGCATTCCAATTCAACACAAACAAATTAGATTAGATACTCATAACATTAGATCAGCAACACCTTCAAGAAGATGGCTTTCATTGTTACTGAATGTTGTCTGCAAGTGTAATAATCACATACAGGTCAGACTCTACAGTATGTAATTTGCATAAACGACTACATAGTTGAATCCAAACAGTGCTGTAGTAAATCTGGCCTACCACTGCGTTACATGACAATTGGCCCCCTCTCCTTGTTCACCTGCCATCGCCTCTCCGGGCCGCGCCGCACCGCTCAGATTCAGAGTATCACCGACGAGTCGCGTAACTCGATCCGGAGGAAGAACCAGGGCGCCGCCCCGAGCACGAACCGCAGCCGGCCGCCCTCCACGGCGGAGGAAACTCAGGAGGACGAGGTAGCCGATGTTGTCAACCCACTTGTCCCTCGCTGTTAGACGCACAAACCTCGTCTTCACAAAGCTGGATCTTTGGCTGCAGTCATCGCTTGTCCTTTGACGGCTCTAATTACTTTCATCACCATCATGGTTTTAAAATCTGGACTCAAATTGAACCCCCATATACTCTAGTCTGATGAGTATACAATATAATTGGAGGATGGAGGAGTAGTAACACTGCTGTGTGCCATAGGAAATGCATTTGCAGTCTAACTGTGGGTGCAGTTATTGAATTATATAAAGACTGGCCTTTGAAATCAGAAGTGTAACTCACAGAGTAGTGATGCTAATCGGTGAGTTGTGTGGCACTACAAGTAGAGGAACATGTTGTGCTCTCTGGACAATCCATTGTGCTTTTTGGGCCATCTGTAGTCTTATCCACAGCATCAGCTCAGGGTACTTAGATGATGAGTTACCAGGTTACATCACAGCTCCAGTTGGGCCAAAACCAGTTGGTCCGTGTAGAAAGTGACCAGTGTGACGTCCCAGTAAGCCCAGGACTACAAATCTGAAAAGTGCCATAAGATCGCTGACAAAACAAGCGTCCGAATAGAGAAAGAGAAGCTGGTTCACGACTACAGATAGCGTCCACCTTGTACGTCTGACAAGTCCAGACTGCCCCGACAGTAGCGCCTCTAACTGTATAGTCACCAAGAGCTGCTTTGTGAACACCAGCCCATTGCACCTTGAAACTGCCGCCTGACGCCCCCCCCCATAATCCCAGCTCATCCCCACCTCCTCAACAAGCGTGAGTTGAACGAGTGGACAGTATTGTCTCAGAAACCTCAACATAGTGTTGTGTTATTATTGAGGATTACAACCTCACAGGGCTGTAGACCAGGAGTGATTAATACTCATCATTCTGACTTGACAATACTGTACTCTCTTTTTTTTTATTTTGTCATTTTATTCTCTTAGGCCTCCTCCCTGTCATCCTCTCCTTTCTGTCTTTAATTCCTCGTGTTTAATCTCGTCCCTCCACTGGAGTATGTCCCGCTTGACACTCTATTTCCTCATCCTTCCCTCTCCCTCCGCTCCAGGCCCAGCTCATCCACGACAGAAACACGGCGTCTCACGCCACGATAAACGACAAGGCCGAGGCCGGGACCGACCGGGTTCACATGACCTGGACCAAGGACAAGCTCTTCATGGAGCGCAACCGCAACCGCGAGTGCAACGCCAACGTGGCCGTGCGCGACCTGTTCAACATGAAACCGTAAGTACACGTTCTGTTTGAACACCAGACCAACGTCTGCACATTTGTAGCTCGGGAACTACAAAAGGAGGGGAGGTGGATTGTTTTCCTTGTTGGTGTGTAGCTGTGAGGAACCTACTGTATATGCTACTGACAGATACTGTGACGGTGCAACACCATGTTATGGCATGGGCCTTGTGAGGGACAATTGCACCATTTTGAGCAGGATTTTAAACATATGAAGTATTTGAAGGGTCTGAAGAGTAAACCACAACACACAGATTACTGCCAATAGTTCAGGATGGTGCCACGGCCTCCTGCAGGAGGACAGCATGTGTAGATGTAGTAGTCGTGGTAGTACTAGTAGTAATGAGCCTGACAGGGTGAAATGGGACGACCTTCTGCATGGCGTGTGTATTGGGGCTGTATTTGGTGTGCACGTACACTTCCAGCCATTTCAGTCCTCGTGCATGGCCAGACCACGCAGATCACATGCACACCGTGTTGCTGTTTGGACTAACAGCCTCTCATCCCATACTGTCCATACTGTCCATACCATAGACTGTGTATGGAGGTGGACCACATGTCTGCCGCTTCCTCCCACTGCACAAAGATGAAGCCGGGAATATCCCAGATTACGGGGCGCAGCCATCTTGCATCGATGACGTCATTTGGAGCCTCAGTAGCGATCGGGGGGGTGGAGCCACAGTTGCGAGGTCCCGCCCATACACCCGCCCTAACCAATCACGAGGCTTGAGCACGCCCGCAGCGAGTTAGCATTAGCCACCTAGCTGCTGTACTTGACTGACAGCACCACGGTGGCTCCATAATATCTCTTTATGATGAACGTTTCATTTCACAGATTGGTGTTTGGGGAAACGTTATCTGTCTGCTGACACTGATATGAACAGACGAAGGTCACACAGCGCTTGCTAACCTTAGTGTCAGTGGAAATGTTGTTGAGCTACCAAAGTCTGTCTTTTAAGAGCTTTATAAGCAGACATTCCTATAAAGGTCTTTATATTCAGATCTTAAAGTTTGAAACAGACCATCACCGTTGTGGAAAGTTAAAGCGACGTCTCCTCTCAACACTTCTTCTCTACGTATAATTCCTGAGCCTCCGACTGCCCGGCTGCTTCACCCAGAGCAGCTTTCAACCATGACGCCCAAATAGCATCAAATACCTCATTTAAACTAAACTGCTCAGAAAAAAGGGTTTTATAAGCTGCACTGCAGCCAACCACCAGGGCCGACCGAGATGTCCGGGCTTCACTTTCGGGGGAAGCCGTCATGTCGTCCTTCTTTATACACAGTCTGTGGTCCATACTATCGGGGTGTGGACTTCATCTGGTGTGTCCCGGTCCACTCACATTGGCTTACAGAGTTTTGTCGTTCAACTGAGTCACACAGGACATGAAGACACAAAGCCTCACCACGGACGTCCTTGGGGTTTTCCGGTGGGTCCCCTCTGGGAGGACAGTACGAGCCGTTGTAAGCATGCGCTGTGGTGGAGAGAGCTGATGTAGGAAGCATCTAAGCCTATTTCTGTTCTGTCCCATTTCCCTCCTTCTAGAGAGTGGGAGAGTCTGTAAGTCGCCTTCTTTTTGCTCTAGGCCGTCTGTGTGTGCTGCTGCTGTGGTGACTGTGGCTTTTTGTTTGTGTCCTCCAGCTCGTGTGTGTGTGCGTGTGTGTGTGTGTGTCCTTCTTTGTGTGCTCTAATAAGCATGGACTTCCTGTTCTAACAGTTCTATTGAAGGCATTGTTTGTATGCATCAGCAACTTTGTGCTTTCCATTTACTTTTTTCAAAGTGATCAGCAAATACAGAAATGTACATTTGGTGTTGACATGAAAACCTGAATGTTGTCTTCTTCAGTGGAATGGAAAGCAGCACGTTGTGAGCTTGTCCTGGTCGTGCTGAATGGCTTGAGGCTGTCGACGTCTTGTGCTTTCATTGCTTTTGATCTAACATTGTTGAGGTGCAGATGAAGAGGCAACATTTAAAGAGATGCTGTTAACTATTAATAAACAGGATTCAGTCTGTTTGAAAGACTACAGCATGTACAGTACAATGCTATACTACGACACACTAAACAATAATACACACCACATGGACTTCAGGTGCGATGCTGCACATCCCTTTTGTCTGAAAATGCTGCCTCTTTATTTGGAATTCAATCGGTTTCAGTCCCTTAACCGTGCCTTGATTTCATCATGCGTGTCTGAGTGTAAAACACAGAACGCTTCAACTAGAACGCTCCCTGATCAAATGTTAAACTGTACAACATGTATCAGTTATTAACATAGACGATCATGTGCTATACTGATGTTTTCTCTTGAAGTACACAGTGTATTAGTGATGTACTGTACTGTAAATACAGGTTTTATTCATTTGAAGAGGAAGACTCAAACATGTATGAGGATTCACTCAGGAGTGCAGCCATATTGCCACCATAGGCCTTTCTCCCGGAGGACATTTTGACATGTCGCAGTAGGTGTATATCATGCAATGAATCACGGCTGTGTTCCATTTAGCTGCTTCAGTTTCACTTTTCTATAGTGAACACACAAAATACTCCAACAGCATACTGCTGATATGCTCTGAAAGAGGCCTATTGTAGTTTGATGCCAGCATAAAGTTAAACGTCTAGTTTCACATTTGATGAAGTAATGAAGCCTACAGAAGTCCCAGCAGCCACTGCTCCTCATCACCACAGACATTTAGGGTTCGTTTGTGTTGTCTGTCCTTTCTCACTGTGACCTTCTCGTCAAACCAGGAACCAGTCAAATGTCCGTCGGATGCACACGGCTGTGAAGCTGAACGAGGTGGTGGTCAACAAGTCGCAGGGAGCTCAACTGGTTCTGCTGAACATGCCCGGACCCCCCGGGAACCGAGGAGGAGACGAGAACTGTATCCTTGCAGCAGCTGTGACCCCAGCCTTTGCAGCACAGCTTATACTTGTTTTTATTTAACAGCGCTTATCAAATGACAACAAAGACCAACGTTAATTGTCATCTTTCATCTTTATTGACGTAAATGAATCTGGAGTTCAGCCCACATCTTTTAACGCCAGCCGACTAAACTCGCTTTTGCTTCTGCTCATAAACTTTGTCGTAACCTGCTGACATTTTTCCTCGCAAGTTCCCCGACCGGTCCTTAGCATTTATAACTCAACAGAGGGGAGAAGGAAGTGAGATGGCTCATTCCTCAGCTACTTCCTACATCCGCTCCGGAAAGACCGATATGTTTACCAGACGCTCGATCGGGTTAGTGAGCCGCTAGATCTACTAGCCCGACGTGGCGTTTAACTTGCCCTGGGCAAGTGGGCAATGCTCCCTGTTGAGCGGTGCATACGGGATCATTAAGAGTCAGATGTTTCCATTAGGAGCTGGTGGAGACCAAGAACAGAGCTGAGAGAGGTTGAATGCTGGACTTGTAATGAAGGCTTATTGTGCTGGCTTACTGCTGGACACATGTAGTAGAGCAGCAGTTTGCTATATTAAGGTAAGAGATGATGATGTATTGTTGCTACTGCGTGTTACATTACTCCCGTGTGTTCTGTTTCTTGACCACCGTCTTCTCAGACATGGAGTTCCTGGAGGTTCTCCTGGAGGGTCTGAACCGGGTCCTGCTGGTGCGAGGCGGCGGCCGTGAAGTCATCACCATCTACTCTTAAAAAAACACAAAACAAACTCACGCCATGGTGACGTTCACCGGGCATTTCTGGGGAGGAAGGGGGGGGGGGTTTGTTGGAAGGCGGGACCACTCGTGATTGACAGTTGGCTTGAAGGACCCCAGGACGAAGGACTGGCTGAGAGAGCGAGCCCCCCCCATGTGGAAGATAGCGCATAGAGACACTTTAACATTGTTCATTTAACCCTGCCGTTATGTTCTGTTACATTTTTGTGTTCTTTCCCTCTTGTGTTGATGTGGTCACGTTCCCGGCGCTCGCCGTGTAAAGAGAAGCAGGGAGTGATGTGTGTGCCGTTACGATGTGAACCTTCTGTGTTGCACTCTGGGAAGGTGCAGCGACTGAGAGAGGCGTGTCCAGAGAGGACAAGTTCTAGAGAGGTTCTGTAGACTGGGTAGGGTTAATACTGGATCAGGTACAGTTTGGTGCCCTGCATGTTCTGCATCACCACTTGTGCTCCGCGTTCTCATTTAAAATGTCTTCACAGAACACGGCCGCACCTGTAGTTCAGAGCTCGTCCCTTCAGCAGCGTCTGTAGTCCTAGTGTCCCGCGGTCGTTCGCCCCGTCAGTGATTCAGTGAAGGACCAGCCGGGAGGACGTGCACCACATGTTGGATCACCTTCTGCTTCAGATATATGGTACTGAACACTTGTTCGACACTTTTGCTTCAATAGGGAGAAGAGCCATAGTCAATACCTAGGACCTTTTGTCAGCTTTATAGGACGACGTATGAAATGCACATGTATACATATTCATGGAGACTGAAGTCGAGCTTCAGAGATTGTTTTAAACCCCAGGGCTGTTTGACAGCGAGCTGTAGCTTAATGAACAAGCAGATTGGCTCACGTTAAATCTGCCCTCAGACTTCAGCAAAGTGTAAACCGTAAAAAGCACAAACTGACTCGTGCATCGACGCAACTCTCACCATATCGCCGTAGTAACAGCACTGTTGACTTTGCACTACGCACCCCTCAGCACTTATTCCACTGCGCACTCTCACCCCGGTTCTATGGCCTGCAGTGACACTTCCTGCCGGTCAACACCACATTCTTCTGATCGAAGACGAGCGAGAAGCCGATAAATGAGCTCAAGGAATAAGGATGCAGACAGCCAGTGATTCCGTACTGTTTAATACTCGTGTGTCATTGTTTTTATAATAATTTACCAAACCAAACTCTCCAGACTTTGAGTCCCAGACTGAGTAGATTCATTGTAACGAGCATGTGTAGGAGAAAAAGTGCCAAAACGACTGAATAGAAGAAACTGTGGAAGGATTACTGGCACATCTTAGAGCATGGCGCTACGGCCACAGCTGCTCTTTACATTGACCATGTTGAAGAAAGAAAAGAAATGAAAAGCACAGTTATTTGTTGTTATGATAGAGCTTACTCTTGCTAGAATTCTTCATGCAAATGTGCTAATTCATAATCGAGCAAATGCAACCAGGCGATTTCAACCCCTCTCAACTTAGAGGGTTTCTTGTGTGAGGGAAGAAGACCAACACATGGAACCCTTCGTCTCGTGTACCTCCACAGTTTCTCTCTTCACACTAGCTGTGCAGTATTTCGTAAAGCAGAAAGCGGTGTTTTCCTGCACGTCTTCGCGGAGAAAGAAACAAGAACTTGTGAACGTCAGTTCGGCAACATCCGTGTTTTTGTTGTGTTTTGTTCAGTTTGTGATGTAACTGTTTAGTTCTCCAGTAGGGTTTGTTACGTTATAATTGATCTTATGTTACTTTAAGTGTTCGTTTTTTCTTCTTTTCTGGAAGGAGGCCGAGAGAGGATGTCGAGTTTAATGTGTTTTGTCCCAACCCATAAGAGAAGCAGCGTAACACACAGGACTCAGGAGACAGCGTTCCCCTGGTCTGGAAGTATCGATGAACGCTCTATAAAGAACTGTCACTTTATGAAGATGAAACTATTTCAGCTTCACTTTGCTCAGTTTCACATTTTAGCCGCCAAAGATTTTAAACATAGTTCTGTATCAATAACACTTGAAATTGTCTCGTTGTTAAGAAGTTTGAAACGTTGGAAGTCCTAAAGATAAATTATTAAAGATGTTTGTTTGTATTTTAATCTGGTTACTGAGCCGAGTAGCAGCTGTGAGTAAAGAAAACATGAAGCAGACGAAACCCTAAACAGACCACGCAAAATACATAAAAGCAGTTTTCTAGAGGAGAAGTGTGTGTTTCACAGCTCTAATGTTGGATGTGACTGGAGAATGTTAACTACCTCAAGGTGTCACTGAGGCTGAAAATAAATAATGAAAAACATGTTCGACCACATCTCTCTTTCATAACTGATGTCATATGTATTCATGAAAGAAAGAAAAAGAATCCTCTGCGATGTGAGAGGACCAGCAGAAGTGTGTGTGTGTGTGTGTGTGCGTGCGTGCGTGTGTGTGTGCGTGTGCGTGCGTGCAGGAACAGGAAGTCAGTTGTGGGCGCACATAGAGAGGAAGGTAGCCCTGTAAATTGTATTTGTGCCTCTGAGTAATTATTAAAAGTGCTGATAATAATAACGCAAAACCTGTCTGAGTCCTGATTCTACTCACGCACACACACACACACACACACCACTCACACTGATTTGATATTCATGAAACAATGGTGGCATTCAGGGATGCTGGCCTCAGTGCGTACCAACGGGGCCGCTGGCCTCGGTGCGTACCAACGGGGCCGATGAAAGATATGGTAGCCTGAGGGGTAAATGTTAATTTGTATGTAGTTAATTCATCATGGATGGAGCACGCAGGTTTTTAATCGTTTTATTAATACTACTAGTACAAAAGGTCAACAATATAGCTCCGAGTCTAAAGTGACATGATGGTATAGTGTAGTAGAAAAGCCTCAAATAAGGATTATTTTTTCATTGCTTTATTTATTTATCGATAGTTGAGTTGGATTTTTTTGTCCTCCATAATTGTATACACATAAATAGTGTGTCTAATTGATGAAGAAGAACTTGTCCTTGTCGACAGGTTTTGACCCACGTGGCGAGACTCCTCTGGATCTCTGATCCATCACCATCACTATTTGGGCCCTAAAAAGGTTTGCGATGGCCGGGAATCGAACCCGGGTCAACTGCTTGGAAGGCAGCTATGCTCACCACTATACCACCATCGCATGAAAAATCATGGAATTCCATGTACATCAGTAAATGAGGACGAGAGAAGATATCTTTACTGTAGGCTTCCCTCATGTGAACAACTTTCAACAGAGCTCGGGTCTTCAGACAGCCTCTAGAACCACTCTGTGGTGGCGTGGAAACGTTCCCGTGGGTGGTGTGTCTATTCCACAAGTCTGGTTTTGTTGAGGCGAAGGAGGAGGAGTCTTCACTGCGTGCTGATGGACAGAGAGGACACTGAGCTTTATTAAAGTCACACGCACATAGTTTAGTATGCATTCAATCAGATTGATTGAGATAGATTTGTGAAATCTTTCTGTGAATGCCCGTTTTGCTCAGTCAGATCGGACTGTCCACGCAGCTGTAGACGTACAGAGGTCCAGACCTGGGGACCAGGTCTCCCTGAGAGGATTCAAACCTACAGTCTACTACACAAAATGATGTCTATTTACTTCATTGTGGAACACTTGTTTTACGCTTTTCACAATTCTACAGTTCTTCTTAGAAGAGAAAATAACTTTTAAATTGAATCTGCTCACGCAGACATGCAACATATGAGTAGTGGTCACGAGGAGATGAGGCTTCATATCAAGGGGTCACAAGCAATACAAGGTAGGAGACTTAAAACCTGTTCACAAACAGTGAGTGTAGGTTTTATTGTTGTGTATTCTGGACATTGTGTGCAGACTGGTGGAGTCACGTTGGTAGGACAGCATCTATCCACCAGAGGGCAGCCTTGCATTCTCTAAAACTGGCTTCCTGCTGCAGAGAGATGGAAGCCACTGATGTAAACATTCATCTCTGAGTCAAATCCAGCATGCTTGTCAACACACATCCACACATCCTGTACAAGTTACATCAGCCGTACCGTTTCAAAGCAATAGTTATGTAACTTTAGGAGGAAGTTGTGTATAGCTGGTTGCAACAACACTCTCAACCCGTTACCTAATAATCCAGTGTTCACTAAGGCTACTGGTTCCTTTGATTTTAGCAGAGAAAGCCACACATTCTGCCAGAAGACTGGTCTCTGACAGGAACACCCTTGAGCTGTGGCCCTTGGCTGACCTTTGACCTCTTGCAGCCCGCGGTTGCCTTTCTCCACTTTCTCTGCACAATCTGTCCGTCCAAAGTACCGTCCTCTCTCTTCTGTTTGCTCGGTGCATTGCTGACCAGATCAATAGGAGAGGCTGGATGTTGACGGTCGAAACTGCATAGATGTGTGTGTGAGACTGAAAAGACATGAAGACATTTTCTCATTGATCCTCAGCAGCAGCACTACAGACAAAAACAACAGATAAGTGATGTGTGCACTTCGGTGTAATATAGTTTGCCTGTGCAGGTATTGATTGGAGCTTTCCGACGTTCAGCTTTTTCCATCTATTTTTCTCACATGGATGCTACATGTCAGGGACTGAGCAAGTTCTATTTTAGGCTAACAGGTTACTAAAAGGTCACAACCTTCGTAAGTTTTAAATATAAGAAGTTCATTATTTGTTATCTTTATGAGAAGAAAGAGGTTGAGGGATTGCCTCCACGCGGCTCTCGTCATGGTGACGGCTGAGCCGGCGGTTAGCGGCTAACGGTGCTAACAGTGACAGTGCTGCAGTGTTTGCTGCACGAGAGCGGGGCAGAGCGACGGCCATTAGCTAGCAAGCGGGAGCGAGCTAACATGCGCTACAAAAAGCACGCGGCTGGACAAGTTCCGTAAAGAAAGCACAGAGAGGCTCTGATAACAACACACACAAAGAGAGAGACTTCATTCTCTGTTCAGGTAGACGTTACTCCACTGTATCTTTTCATAGATATGAGTTGTTTGCTGCTACATTAATGCGCAGAATATCGAATTCAGCATCTTTAAAAAAGAACTCTACCTATTTAACGTTGCATTCCTTTAACACTGTCACCATCTAACCAACCATCTGCTTGGTCAGGTTAGTCGACCTCCCCAACATCTGCACACAGACAGACAGCTCGCCTTCAACGTGCATTAAAGACAGAAAGCAAGTTTTCATCATATATGTTTACTTCAATCTACAAAACTCAGTGGGATAATCAGACCTCTGCTAATATGCTAATTGTGTTTTCACATCATTTTCATCAAGCAGGAGAAGTGCACGTTCCTTTAAAATGAACATTTCTACATATACACAAACAAAAAAAGTCCTTGACCCAAGGTGTGCCAGTCCCATCCACAGAGCAGCTCTGTAGCTCACTACAAAGAAAATGACAGTTTAGAGATAAGAAAAACAAACAGAGGATAAGTGTTGACAGTACAAAAAAAGAGCTCCATGTTTGCACTCTCAAAAATGCTAATAAACGTATGCAAATTCAAACTGTGGTGGCTTGTTTGACTATACAAAGGTTTCCTGTAACTGATCGCAAACACACATGAGAGCTTTCCGTCTCTTGGTATGGCTGCAGCACATCTCGCAGTACACTGTGGCTCCGACAATGGCTGCAATTCAAAACACTCACAGTTGGGACACAGAATAAAACAGATACAGTCTGTTCAGTTGCCAAGTGTGTTTTTCTAGATGATGTATGGAAGAGCAGCACACAGTGGACTCCGCCATGATGAGAATCAAATCCTCTCTTTAATTGAAATGCTTCTGATCCCTGCTGCAGATTACAAAGCAGCTCAACTCTATCATATCTTAAACCTTCAAAGAACAACAAAAACGTCTTTCCTGTTGACAGTTTGTGTCTAGTTGCATCCTGTCAGGCTGTGTTACAGGGCTCTGTGGAGCGGTAAGGGGTGCAGCATAGGGTTGGGCTGCGTGCAGCAGTGAGTGAAGCTGGACAGCAGAGCTTCGTGGAGTGTGTGCAGGCTGAAGGGAAAGCCTACAAGAGATACAGATTCTGAATGAGCTGTGTCTGGCAGAAATGTACAGACAGCAATCAATAACCAGGAGAAGAAGAAGACAACTTGGAATCCATCACAGCTAGCAGCATGGTGACTGATAACAAATATACACAACAATGTGAGAACACATACATGAGGAGACAACAGGTATTAAGCACCATCATATCATATCATATACTGTATATTGAAGGGACTCTTATTGTTTCGGTCCAGCAGCCAGGGGGTTAAACTGGGAAGGAGTGCAGTGAAAGCTGCATCAAGTGGCACAAAGACAGGAAATGGTCCAAGCTTGTCATTAAAATAAAAATGTAACATATGTAATACAACCACAACTACTACTATTATTGTCATAATGATAATAATCATAACAATTCTAATAATAAAGCCAATGCCATTGCTGAATTGTATGGTGGGCGAACAATGTATAAAGAAATATATAAATACTGGAATAAGAACTAGAAAATTTTGCAGGAAATTTTGATAGTGTGGTTTCTACTGCCCGAAGACGTCGCAATATATACACACGCCGATGTTACCGGTAGTGTCGTTGAGGTTCGATTGAGATATCGCTTCTCTCGTTTCTGCATTTTTGATTCATACTCTTGGATAGAATCTTGAATTTGTGGGGCTTTTATTTTGAAAGGGTGGGACTGGGTGGGTGAGAGTATTCAACTTTTATTTCAGACTCATGAATCCATATAGTATCAAAAAACACAAATACAACAACAATATATAAGATACAATACAATACGAGGACACCAAGACACGTGTAATCATTGCAGTTAAAATGATTTTAGAGTAAATGGTGCATAGTTACAAAATCATTTCACTCCAGGTTGATAGCAGACCACCTCAAGGTGTCACTCAGAGAGAACCAGGACATTCTGATGTAGCATTTCAAAATTAAAGCCCTTCAAATCACATTCACTAGACAATTTGTCTAATTTCAGATTAGATTTTAGAGTAAATGGTGCATAGTTACAAAATCGCACCTGGTGTTAGTGGCAGACTGATTTTAAGAAACGTTGCAGTAATCAGTGATTTTGAACAAAACCCCTAACTCATTTTAACAAAAAGCAGGAGTCTGAGCGCCAAAATATGGGTACCATGAGAAAGATAAGACTCTGGCAAACGCGCTGATGTGTTTTTTATGTTTGTGGTGTTAACAATGTGAGCTCCAGAGCAATAGACAAAACTGGTACCGTCTGCTTTCTTTGAGAAATGAGTGGTCAGATTTAACATGGAGTCTAATGGGGCAGTTGGTTGGAGTTCATGTCGCTCTGCGGCTCTTTGAGCCAAATGTGTAAGTCCGTTGGATTCCACAGACACTTTACCACGACCAGCACAACATTTCCAAGCTTTTTGGCCAAAATGGTGTTTCAAGAGTAACAATTGTGGGAGCTGGAGCAATTTGTTTGGAAAAATCACAGAAGATTTTCAAGCTCCGCTCCACTCTGACAGTTATGCTCTCACTCTAGCTCTTAACGAGCCGAGCAATACACACCCATTATAAAATCTGAAACTGACCCAAAATGTTCCTGAAACTTTAATCTGTGACTTCATGAAAACTGTGCTAGCTATCAAAATGTCCCTTTGGCTCAATAAAGTGCAGCGTTTTGTCTACGTTTTAAACTTTGAATCATGTTTCTACGTTAAAGTACGGCACGTCAATATGGGCCCAAAGTAATGCCGAGGGTCCCCTTTAAAGGGGACGTAGAGGGGTCGGGACTTTGACTAGGCCACTCCAAAGTCTTCTTTTTGTTTTTCTTAAGCCATTCAGAGGTGGACTTGCTGGTGTGTTTTGGATCATTGTCCTGCTGCAGAACCCAAGTGCGCTTCAGCTTGAGGGCACGAACAGATGGCCGGACATTCTCCTTCAGGATTTTTTGGTAGACAGCAGGATTCATGGTTCCATTTACCACAGCAAGTCTTCCAGGTCCTGAAGCAGCAAAACAGCCCCAGACCATCACACTACCACCACCATATTTTACTGTTGGTATGATGTTCCTTTTCTGAAATGCCGTGTTTCTTTTACGCCAGATGTAATGGGACATACACCTTCCAAAAAGTTCAACTTTTGTCTCGTCAGTCCACAGAGTATTTTCCCAAAAGTCTTGGGGATCATCAAGATGTTTTCTGGCAAAACTGAGACGAGCCTTTATGTTCTTTTTGCTCAGCAGTGGTTTTCGTCTTGGAACTCTGCCATGCAGGCCATTTTTGCCCAGTCTCTTTCTTATGGTGGAGTCATGAACACTGACCTTAATTGAGGCAAGTGAGGCCTGCAGTTCTTTGGATGTTGTTCTGGGGTCTTTTGTGACCTCTTGGATGAGTCGTCGCTGCGCTCTTGTCGTCATTTAAGTGTGACAAACATGCAAAAAAATAAGAAATCAGGAAGGGGGCAAACACTTTTTCACACAACTGTGTATATATATATATATATATATATAATCCTGTTGAGCAGGGATTTTAGGGACGGGAGCAGCAAGAGGGGGGCGGGGCGGGAACAGCTGTTGACGCAAACAGGAAGTCCTCTGTAGGGTAGGCCGTCTCATTTCGTATACAGCACGGTCTAGCCTTTGCGGTCCTCAAAGGACCCGGCCCACGTAGACCGCGAAGGCTGGGTCCTCCGAAGGATGCAGACCCTGAATTGAGACACAGATATAGTCAGGCATTTATTGTTATGATTGACAGATATGACACCTCAAAACTGCTCAAAATTAATCCAAATTATGTCGAACTGCTTTATTAGGATTATTGAACAATCTTAGTGATAAGACAAGTGAATATATAGTTAATATTTAATTATATAGTATATACAATTAGAATACAGCAATGCAACTTCTGGTTCCGAAAATCAGAATTTTGCTTGACTCAGACCATTTATGCTGGCCTGCTTCACTCAATCGAAGTAAAATATGTTGTGGGGACATGTAAAACGTGTTGTGCTATGTCTGTGGCGTAATTTTAGGCCAAGATCTGCATTATTTAAAAAAAAATGTTCAATACAAGTGCTTTTTTTCAGGCGAACCTGAAACTTTTTCAATTTGAGCTGTGCCATAAGTGTATCAGTTATTAACCAGTAACATATACACAATATTTACACAATTCAACACATCTCACAAGTGTTACCTGTATTATGCCATCAAAATTATTAAAATAGACTCTCTTGAGTATGGGTATGCAATTTTCGAGCAGAGGCCTAAAAATAGGGCTAGGGCTTAAGTGTTTTTTTTTTGCTCTCTTCACACCAAAACCCCATTCAAGTGAATGGAAACATTTTGCTCAGTTTTTCGGGATTTTCGGGAAAACCGCTGGGCGAATCTCTCCGGAAAATAGATAGCACACTATTCCCGATCAGGCCGCACGTTTTGATGTACTTGTTGCACAGGTGTTGGCAACGCTGTGTGAGGAGAAGCATGCCAAACTTTCTGGATAAACAGTATTAAGCCCGATGGATTATATAGAGTGTGCACAAAGCCACACTGAATGATACGGATCTTACGTTTGTCCTATGATCCCATCCCACGTTGTTGTATTAACATAATCTTACCTATCTTACAATAAGACCATGCTTACAATAAATATTACAAAAAATAAATATAAATACATGGTGGAGGTGGTTGCTCATGCAACTACAGTTTACTTCATTTATTTGTGCTTTGAGGTGTGTGTAATACAAAACTGTGCTGTATTTTTCAAGTCTTCTTTTTTTCTACTCCATACATAACATAGACTTCAACGGTGACTAATATCAAGCGTGCAAGTAATACTTTTATTTTGACACTTCGATACCAGTAGCGCTTCCTGTCACCGTCTCTGACTTGACTGCGCATGTCTGAGCTGCAGCATGAATCGCAGCCTTCACCGTAGTATCGCTGCTGCTGCTGTTGGATCCTCCGGGGACAGAGAGAGCGACCGCCGCCTTTCTGTCAGCGCGCCGTCAGATAAAGCACCTTTCCGGATCTCATGTATTCCCTCTCGCGTTAGCTGGAAGGGAGGGTCCTGCTGAAAAAAAGGGGCTTACAGACCCAGGGAGGGGGGTGACATGCCCTTCACTGCTTGGCGCAGTCAGTGCGTTGATCTCCGTCAGACGCGGACGAGGTAAAGACCGGAATGGTGCGTTTGAATTGTCATTTCTAACGCAGAGGCCCGGTTTGTCATCTGTTTTTGGATTATTTTCCGTTGTGGGGGCTGGAGGATAACGAAATTACATGCCCGCTCTGAGAGCCGGAGCGCCGGGGGAAATGCAGCACAGCGGGTGTTTGGCTGCAGGTGGATGGCCAACCTGACGGTCCCTGCCCGCCGCTTCCCTCCCGTTCAGCCGGTCTGGCGTCATCCGGAGCTCTTACGACAAAACTGAAAACAGAGATCGACGAACAAACCCGAGTCATGCTTCCAGGGGTCGGCGTGTTCGGCACCAGCCTGACCGCCAGGGTGATCATCCCGCTGCTGAAGAACGAGGGCTTCGCCGTCAAGGCGCTGTGGGGCCGGACGCAGGAGGAGGCGGAGGAGCTGGCCAAGGAGATGAACGTTCCGTTCTACACCAACCGGATCGACGACGTGCTGCTGCATCAGGACGTGGATCTGGTCTGCATCAACCTGCCGCCGCCTCTGACGCGGCAGATCGCGGTGAAAACGCTGGGTGAGTCCTGCTGCTGGGCGGGCTGGATGCTGCGGCTCCCCCGGTGGGGTGGTGTTGGAGGTGTGGGGGGTTCATTGTCCTGCAGCGGAGCAGACATAAAGTCCAGTGAGGTAGGAGTTCAGTTAATAGGTGGGGCTGCTGGGGATGAGCGGCATCACGGATATCTTGACATCAGCCCTTATTTACCCATGAAGCTGACCTCTTGGCTGACCTACAGGAGGCTGCAGTGCTCTTGAGCAAGGCCCTGCAGGTGCAGCAGTTTGTGCAAGAGCTTTATCATTCCCTCCACGGAGCACAGGCTTTAAGAAATGTGACCTTCACTGACAAGATGTTGTGATAGAGGCCTGCTTGTCTTCAGTATCGCTACCAAGGAGACCAGCCCCACATGCAGGACTGACTGTCTGTCAGGGGCTCCTTTGGTCAAACTGGACTTAACCCGTGTTTGTGAAACAGAGGAGGCCTGAATACGGGAAGAAAGAAAAACGAGTGCCACACACAAAGAGAGGTTGTTCTAGTTTAAATCTGGAGCAGTGCGGCTTATTTTGGAGCTGCTGTGAAAGAATGGAGGCGAGGACCAGTGAGCTGCACTCCACACAGGCTTTATTTACCGTTTGGCAGCAGAGCTCAGCTGGCAGCAAAGCTCTGGTAGGTCAGGATGGTGACTGGAGAACAAATGGGACCAGAGATGCTCAGCACGGTTTGAACTGGATTATATCTGGAGACTAAGCTACCAAACAGTCTGCAGTTAGACTGCAAGTAGTGATGATCTCCATTCGTGGTTCAGCTCAGAATGTTCACGATTTATCAACATATTATTGTATGTTTGTAAAACTTTGAAAAAAGATCAAGCACCGTGGATGTGGAGCTTTCGATCATCATCCCTAGACCACGTGACTACTGGGCAAACTCCAGCTCATGTGACACTAGAGAGTAGGCCGTGTCGGCGACGGTACCATTCTTCTGTCATGTACAGAAGGAGCCTTACTGTACGACAGAGACGGTGGTCTGAACCAGTGACGGGGTAAACGACAGCGTGGCTCTTACATGTTTTCAGAGCTGGAGGTTCTTCTTGGCATCAAAGCTTTCAGAAATATGAAACATCAGAAGGCTGGTGCCCCAGTTTCTCATCTTATAGGTTTACAGTATTATTTCTGCTTTCAGGCTTCAATCAAACAGCTGTGAAACGCTTCTCTGGTGTCACCGTATCAGCATTAATCCAAAGTACCAGCTTTAGTGCTGCAGTAAGTGGACAAGAGGCAATGGACAATATCCTTGAGAATAACATCTCTGGCTTTTTGCAGAGCTTTCAACCACACCGTGTGGTCTTCCTCAGCGATGGAGTTTGCCTTGTCTTGTCATAGAATTGTAATTTTCATCATATGGTCACAGAGATAGCTCCATCTGCTGTGGAAGACCGTAATAAGTTGACATTTTAGTCATTGTTTTCCTGTTTTTGGTCAAAATACTGAAGATTAGGGTAGAAAATAAACTGGAAGCGTACTTTTGAGTAGCCAAAAACGATGTTGGACTCTTGCTGGATGTACTGCACAGTACAGTGTTACTATAACGCCGAAAGTATCCTCACTTCTGTTATTGATTCATCTGAGGATTGTTTTCTCAGTCAGTGTGGTTCTCATCAGTAATGCAGCAGTGAGGGGGGGGGGGGGGGGCAGAGCAACCTGACAGCATTAGCCCCGTCTGTCAGTGTGTGAGGGGCGGAGATGTGTGTGAGCGTGAGCTCCACAGCGAGTTGTCTTGTGACGAGCTCCTTCTGACTTCAGCTGAGTTTCACGAGTCCTCACCAGACTTGTTTGACACGTGATCTTTTTTGATTTTTAATGCAAGTCCCCCCCCCCATGATCATCACGTTGAGTTAGAATTTCAAGGGCCACATGCATCTGCGGGCGCATTGGTTGAATTGGGTGTGTTTTCCCTTTTGGAAACAGTGTCCTTAAAGTAGCCTGAGCCTCCCAGCGTGGAGATAAGGGCCTCTGTGGCTCCATTCGTCCTCACACTGCTGCTACTGTTGGCTCGTTGGCTTCAGTCAACTCTGTGGAGTGGCAACGTTGAGCTAACAAGAGGCGCGGAGTACAGCAGACAGTGTTTGTTCACAGCACGACCACACTAATGTCAATATAGACCGTACGCGCACGCGCGCTAAAGCAAAGGCTACGCTAACACGTGCACGTGCAACCGCACACAGGGAGTGAAGTCCAGCTGTATGAAAGTTCCACAATCCAGCTGATCCTGAGCCAGTGAGCCCGACTCAACCTGCACATCGCTCACGTGTACAGTGACCATTTCTTCCTCTCTGTCCTCCCTGTGAGAGAAGCTGCCTCTCCTCACCCGCTGTCACCCAGACAAGTCTGGGTCCAGTCCTGTGTGCGCCCCGTGTGCGCCCCGTGTGCGTCCTGTTGGAGGGCAAACATGAAACAGCTAATTCAGTCCAAGTGCACAAGTTCTGAGAGTTCAGTTTTGGTCCAGCAATTTATTGGGGCGATAGTGACTTTAAAGTCTCTGTTGTTGTCAGTATTTATATATGTTAACATATTATGTGTTGCACCAATAAAATCACGTAGGGTTGTAACTAACGATTCATTTCAAGATGGGTTATTCTGTTTTTTTTATGGATCAATTCCTTATTGTGTCTATACAATGTCAGAAATAAGTGAACAATGCTCATCAGGGATTCATTGAACCCAAGTTATTATCTTAAATAGCTTGTTTTGTTTGACTAACAGTCATAAAAACTCAAAGATATTTCATTTACAGTGAAGTAAAGCAGCACGTCCTCACGTTGTAGAAGCGCAGAACGTTCTTCAGGTAAATATAGCAGTATAATGTGAAACAATGCGTCGCCAGGAGGCCGGAAACAGGGCTGCTTGGCTGAGCTCGTGAATATTTGAACTGTTGGTGTTTCGGAGATCAAAGTTACGTGTTTTTTACCTTTTGAAGCGATACTAACAAAGTAGTGCCAAACCTCTCAGCCACAGTGGAGTGAAACCTTTGTTCAGAGACTAGACGCGTAGTGGGAATGTTGTGAAATAAGTAAAATTCTGAGTATATGAGCGTCACCTGAAATGACAGTTCCAATGATGACGTCAATATATATTGCGTCACCATGATGCATGACACGTCCAGGGAAGTGGTACCCAGTCAGAGAGCAGAGCCGTCGGGCTGGGTGACAACGCAGCTCTGACTTCCTCTTCTGTCAGGGTGTGTGAGCTGATGCTAAGCTGGCCTTCTTGTTGCTAACCTCCAGCTGATAAGTGTGATCAGACTTCTGTGTGAACGTGTATTATTTTCTGTCTTAACTTGTCTCGTAGCCCGTGTTGAGTTGAAACAGAAGGGTTCGGCTGGATAAATTGCCTGCGTTGAAGTCGAAACCTAAAATCATTACACATCCAATTAAAGAGAGGTGTGAACAGAGTAAAGGGTGGGATAGAATATAATAACATGAAGCATACAGGGCGATGAGGAAAGTGGAAAAACTCTGCTACAAGTCAAGAACATGCTCCACATGTCGTTCAGGTTTTACCAGAGCCGGCTCGTCCCCCCAGCCCAGCAAACCTGTCGGTCTTGTTGAGCAGCATCTCTCCTTCCACAGGGATGCCCCCCCCCCCCTTCTCTTTCTTACTACTGCGGCATTCCTGAGGCGTCTGATGTCATGTGATGATGTTGGGAAGGAAACCTCACACTGTTTGCTGCCACACACACACACACACACACACACACACATCATTCTGCTATTAAAGACAAACTCGTGAGCCTGAAGTATGATTTATTTTTTTTGAACCAGTGGAGATTGAAGCTTCTTAGTTTTTTCATCCAGAACCATTAGCATTAGCATACATTAGCATTTCCATCAGACTGCAGAATTCAGACTGGTTTCTTTATATGTCACAGCCTAACATAAGGTGCATTTTAGTATGTTATTATGTAAGGTCTCTTAAAGGCAGTGGCTCTTACATGTTTTCAGAGCTGGAGGTTCTTCTTGGCATCAAAGCTTTCAGAAATATGAAACATCAGAAGGCTGGTGCCCCAGTTTCTCATCTTATAGGTTTACAGTATTATTTCTGCTTTCAGGCTTCAATCAAACAGCTGTGAAACGCTTCTCTGGTGTCACCGTATCAGCATTAATCCAAAGTACCAGCTTTAGTGCTGCAGTAAGTGGACAAGAGGCAATGGACAATATCCTTGAGAATAACGATAAAATAACTCGAGCTCCAAGCTGTTTTGCAGAGCTTTCGACCACACCTTATGGTCTTCCTCGGCGGACAGAGTTTGCTTTGTTGTCGTAGAATTGTCATCACGTTGTCACAGAGAAAGCTCGTCCGCTCAACTCCATCTGTTGAGGAGGACCATGGGATGTGTCTGAAAGCTCTGGAAAAAGCTAGTAAGTTGACTTTTAGTCATTTGTTTGGTCAAAATACTAAAGAATATGGTGTTTAGCCCAAGAACTATGTTGGATACTCTTGTTGGATGTACTGTACAGAACATTGTTCCAAATTATTTCACCTAAAGTCTTGTCATTTATGTTGTAGGGCTGTAGCTAATGACTATTTACAGATTAATCGATAATAATGTTTTCTCAATTGATTAAGCATTTGATCTATAAAGTGTCGGGATATAGTGATCGATGTCCTTGAAACTGCTTTGCTGACAGAATACAGCAGGCCTTTCATCACGTAGCTCCGCTGTGTGTGTGGTTGGGCCCCGATGCTGAGAGGGAATCCGAGAGCTGAACTGAAATGTTACACGGGCGGGAGTTTCAGGTGCACCCTCCGTCCCCCTTTGTGCACTTTTGTTTTGACAGCGGGGGGAGGAAGTGGTGGGAGAGGAGCCCCTTCGGCTCAGCTCCGTGAGGCCTGGAGAGCTTCACAGAGATGAGCAACAGGCGTGGAAGCGCATCTTTTTATAGCAGTTGACGGCAACTTCATGACTCTCGTGTAAAATCCCCTTCATGGCTCGGTTCCATAAACTTATCAGGTTTGCGAAAT